ATTTCAACATGAATTGCTCATTCTGGTGTTTAGGTTATATTTTTATTTTTATTTTTATTTTTATTTATTTTTATTTTTATTTTTTATTTTTCATTACTTATGTCAGTAAATCATGAAGTTTCTGTGCTCGGTATCAATGTTAAAAAGTGAATTCTTGTGGTTGCTTAATTTCTTCATAGTTTGATATTCTATTTTGCCTGTACAGTTTATTGTTTGTCGCAGTCTTCTTGTCATCACCTTGATACAAGTTGTAATATCGGAAAATAGATAGATGATTCCTTGATTAAATGCATGTTTAAATGCTTATATGAGCGTAGTTGGACTATGTAATTGTTGATTAGTTGTCCATGTGTTGATTAGTCATTTATAGGATATTTTTTTTATTAAACGTAGGTGCTTGACGAGTCGAGCTCGCCGCCTACACTCATTTTGTGATTATCTCGATTTTTACCAGGTGGGTACAATTTGTGTATCTATAATTATCGCATTTCGTTACTTCGTATAAATGTTCGTCTCGATAACTTTAGTATGCCGTAGAACCCTAGTCTAGTGTGTTACACCACCAGGGGCGTCTCGTCTATAGTGCCTTTGATGAATGCGTAAACAGTGAGAGGTCACCTGATCCGTGTGTGAGTTTCGGTGGGTGACGCCCTGATCCGTGTGATGTTCGGGGGGGTCCTTTTGGCTCCACTGTCTCCCGAAAAGGATCCCTTAGCCCATGTCGAGCTGGGGTGGGAAGGTTTCCGGTTACACCTTGTCGATATCTAATCATAAGGTTGTTGTATGAACATAGGAGGTTTTGCGATAGGGCCGATTAGGGAGTTAGACCTGGATTCTATGCATACTTTATTTATGGTTTTGAATCATTATGCGAGATAGACTTATGCGATATTGGTGAGCATAGTGGTTTTGCTCACCCCCATTATTTGTTTTTGTCCTCTTGTTTCCTATTCCTATCTTTAGGTTGAGCATTGTTGGCGGCGGCAGTGAGAGACAAGCGAGCAGTGGTCATGGATATGTCGTGTCTTTTGCTTCCGCTCTTTTCCCTTATTGTTGGATTGTCATATTGATACAGCCCTATTGTCATGGCCCGGCTCAGACAGTGATTGCCCGATTGAAGACTGCAGACGACCCCATTAAGTCGACACCAACGATGTCGACTTGGCCCGACGGCTATTCAAAAGCCGTCGGAC